AGTGTGGGAGGAAAGCGGAGTACCCGGAGAAACCCCCAAATGGTCGGGCAGGTGACCCCATACCTTTTCACGTCCGATCGAGATGTCGAACCCCGGTCGCCTTGGTGACAGGAAAGTGTGCTATCCACTGCACCACCCGACAACCCTGATGCTATATCAATTTAGCACCTTTAAAAAAACCAAGCTGAAATTCTGAAATTGATGTCTCTGGATGTTATGGGAGGTAGATAGGACAATAACAAACAAAGTAATTTATTAACTATAATAAAAGAACACATACTCACTCACTCTCATACTACCATCTGTAATTAATATATTGTATATCATTAGAACTTGCATGTATAAAGATAATACTTATAAATAGGGTATCGTTTAGTATTTTTCAAGTAAGAACTAGTATGATTAAGTATATTTCTGTTAGTTGCGTTAGACATACCAACGACACCATATAATAAAACATGAAGATTTACAAACCCTTATAGATTATACACAGAGATGATGTGATGTGTAAAATTCCTATAAAGAGGACATTCGAAGAAAAACTGTATTGTATTCTATTTTGTATGTGGAAGCGCGGTGATGGAGGTATTTGATTAAATCCCAGCTCATTATGGGTCAAAACTATGTCTGAACGTACCTTAACTCAGGGAACCCCTCTTAAATTCATTTTTTTCGTATGAAAGCATTGTCCGAGTCGAGTTAAGAAACGTTGGTCAAACTTTGGCCCGACATTTTCACCCATGACAACTGTTATAAAAGTGTCATAATTATCGGACAATTACAAACGGTCCCATTTTCCTGATTATCAACATTAGTAGGGCACTTAGACATACGAACGGCGAGTAATGGCAACCACTTGAACCACTTGAACCAATAATTACGTGAATAATTAACGCCTGCCTCCCAATTGATTAGTCTAGACTGTCAATTAACATAGGAGTAAAAATAAGATACTTAATTAGTGAATCGGGGGGTCGGCAACTTCATGGCAGCCTGAACAAATTAAGTCAATGGATTTTTTTTAAGTGATGGGGTCAAGAAATTTGGGTTAGAAGAGTAATACAATATAATAAGACTGGCTGTTTGTAATGATAAGAAAATGGTATGGTTTTTATTCAACAATGGCGAATGAATGATGCAGAAACTTGCACGAGTTGCTTCCCTTAGGCCCCAAGTCCTAATTGTAGAGTAGAGAATCCAATTAAATCAATCTTAAAATCGCATTCAATATAGCGATTCTGACAAAATAAATAAATCATTAAAATAAATAACGCACAAAATACTTACGACCATTTTGAGGAAAGTAGATAAACAAGTGTCTTTGTCACAGAAGTATGCAGATCCCCGTAAATGTTTTGTTTGTTTACGGTCCCAATAAAACCGTAAATTAGCTTTGAACTCCAACCTATGACATATGTTCACAGTGGTACTAAAACAACACTAATCTCCCAACGGTAACACGACATCGGGTTTCTAACGTTAAGTAACTCCGGTAATATATCGTCAAAGACGGTGTTTTCATAACCCTGATTGGTTTTTTCATTGACACTAACTACCGTTTAAACCTCTCCGACTTGAGTAATGAATTGGCAGAATGGTTTTACGTCAAATATTGAGTGGACATTGAAAGATGACCTATCGTGTCTCCTGTAGAATTAGATGGGCTTGACTCGTAGAGTAATTCGGAGGTGCTCGTATCAGTTTCAAACTGTAGCTTTACCTACTGTAAAATTTATACTTAAGGTCACAGAATTGTAATCTATGGGTCATCAATGTTCGAGGTTTATCAGAATGAAAAGAAAACGATCAAATTCTGACTCTGAGGAGCACCCCTGCAGTAAGAAAAGCAGTAAGTGAATTTAAATATTTTCTTACATTTTTGTTGAAAACTAACAATTTTCAGATCACCTGTACAAATGAAGGTATTTTTTTGCTGTCGTATCCCACTTTTTTATCCGATTTTCAAACCATTTTCTTTTTAAATCGGACGTTGTTATGATAAATTTGAGCTAACTAATTAATTGATAATTAAAACAGTGTCCATTAGTCTATTTCCGGTCATTTCGCTTCACAAATTAGAACAAATTAGTAATATTGTACCAACTAGACTGTCGTAGTGAATTTATGAAGTAGAACGTGTGGACATTTTTAACGCCTAGTGTGTTAACGATTTAGGAAGTATATGTTTTGGGTGTGATGTGATCCCCGGGGGGACAGGCAGTCAGTTATACCTGGGTGAGTGGACAGGTGTGAGGTTTAGAAACAGTGATCTACAGTGGAGTATATAGTTCGCATCTCTTCCTTCTCGTACTCATGTTTGAATATCTTGGATCTTGTACACACAAAAAACACCACTTGTTTATATTTTGAAAGAAAGAAAAAGATCTTAAAATGGAGATGGATCAAGGTAAGCTCTTTGTTGCAAATATAGGAGTTTGATTATCGTTGTTTTTGTAGTCGTTAATGATTGTTTTGGTAATGTTCTGTAAGGGAACAAATGACGGTATGAAATCAATTTTTATCACATTGTTTGTATGCTAAGCTTAATGTGCACATTTTCAAATTATTTTTAAATGGATCACATCACATGCATTAAAACCAACTAGGTAACTGTAAATTACAAGTGCATAACATCGATTTCATGACTTTTTTGCAATGACGGGTTGTCTGCCCTTTGACCACTGCGGTAAACACCACTTGCTACATTTGATCTGTGCGTTGAAAAACATTTAAGGATTTATTTGTATAGACATTCTTTTTAAACCCATAACGGAAACAATAGAATGGTGTTATTCCTATAAAGCGCTTCCACATTCTTTCGATTGATTAAGCCACAGATAAACACAATATGTAGCATACCGGCTACCGCGGCACTAACAAGTATAACATTCTTTATTGACATTCCTTATAAATAATTCTCGTTTGAAAGTAACTGTCAACAGATTTTGAAATTTATTATTCAGTGATAATATATTATTGTTACAATATTTATTGCTAAACTTTCCTTCGATCATTCCAATGATTTTGTCGGACGGTTCTAACCTAAATTAGATTTTTTTGTTTATATAATTTTCGTCAAACAAGGGTCGATAAAAGTTTATTTCTGACGTATTTAGGTTTATTTTAGGTTTTCTCTTCAACGAATGGCACGATTCTCATGGCATTAAATGAAGCATGAAGTTTAAATAATAGGTTTTGATCGGAATATGTGTATTATTTTCATGTGTTGATAGTTAATTTGTAGTATTGAGCGGTTAATTTTGACAGAATTTTTAATGTTTTGCGTATTATTCTTATCTGGTGGAGTTACCTGCCCTTTGACCGTTAGCATTGCTAGTATTAGATTTTCTTGACTTATCAATCAATGTTCCTATTTAAACGCTATCAATGTTCCTATTTAAAGGCAAGTCTATATAAATTTTATGTGTGACGCTTTGGTCTGATAAACAGTCATTTGTTACGCCTTTCCATACTGAGAGTGAAATAAGTGAACGCCACTGTGTGAAAACCCCTATGGGAACGCTGTGACTAGTGATGAACACGATTGTTTTGGTATTCACGGCTCAGTGAGTTTACGCCTACGTATTTTAAATGGAATGCACGCTAGCGTTACGTATGTACGATCAATGGAGAGGAATGTCGATAGCGTCAATTCTGTAACTCTCACACACGAGGCTTGTGATTAAAAGTAGAACTTACTCCTACTTTTAACGTTAGGCTTAAAACCGGTACACAAGTATATCCGTCTGGGATCCAATGATTTGTCCAGCCACATACAAAATCGATTTATTAAAAGTGGTTTTCGACAATATCCAATTGTAAACATTGTGTGTCGAGTTTGTAAGTAGATTTACCTGTGGAGCAAATCTCGTCATATCAAGGAATTTTATCTATTTATATTTTATGTCGCGTACGATACACATCCAGCGTACCCGTGGGAACATACTTACCTGAGTTTACTCACCTGTAATAAACATAATTGGTGGGTGTCTCTGTAAGGAGTCATGCAGACTATTGTTCTTTCTATGTTATGCTTTTATAAAAATCGTTTACCTAAAGCGGTTTAGAAAACAAACCGACCCATGAGTGAAATGCAAACACATTTTTTACTCTGTGAATAACACGTGTCATACTTATTCACAGTACACGAGGGAAAATTGTTTAGATAACTTTCCCATAACTCACATGAAAAATATTGCATGTCCATCATTCGTGGATGTGTTGACGTATGAAATAAACAATAACCAAAATGGGCAGTGAAAAAGTCAATTTTAGAACCCGCAAGATATTTTAATCGTTCTAAATCTATATTTGTAAACATACATTTTTTTTTTAATATAAACAACAAAAGTATTGCTTGACGTTTCTTGTATCGCATTCAAAAGATTACATTGAAATACCACCATATGGTTAAATGTTATTTCCAATATACATGTATTTCTAATCTAGTGACATCTCAATTCAATTTAGTGAAAACTAAAGGTGGAAAGGTAACGATATATAAGCGCGTACTCATACAATTTCACCTTAGAGTCATCTAAGTACTTTCATATCACATCCTAGTAGGCGTGCACCGAGTTGCCACGCGGTATCACGGTGTTTGTTTGGGTACGAGTATGAATTTCTTGCTATGGGGTCCTGTTCTTTCTCGAACGCGGGAAGGATTTTCATTGGTCAATGAGCCAGTAACTGAGTACCGCGAAAAGCTATAGCCGTGAGTAGGGCTGGCTGGCTGCCAAGTTCAATGCGTTCAGCCCAGACGATATCCTTCAGCCATGAAGAAATAGTTCCTTGTCTGCATCGAATGTAAATCTTCATTTCCTTCCACTGCAGCAAGATTTTGGTTTTCTGTACTTTTTATGATGTGATGATCTTAATATTAACGAAATAATCTCGGTTTATGTAAGCAAAAAATCTGGCTCGCAGCCAAGAGGCGGGTACGATAGGCGGAGTAATCGCGACCCAGTTCTCGCACTGGGGGTTCAACGTTCATACTATATACACTCGTAGCTTTGAATGCAAGATCAAAACAAGACAGACAGTCGATCTAACAACGTGGCTTAGTGTTCGGATTATATACAATCATTCTCCATGTGGATTTTACAGTAGCAACATGCTTTCACGAAAGCTAGGAATGTTTTCCTACAACCATAATACCAACATGGAAAAGGATAAGCAAGGTAAATCATCGGAAATTCTTAGTGAAACACCTTATAATATGTTTGTGAAACCAATGATTCGGTCTGCTGTCTAAGAAGTTTTGATATTTTTACGATCTGGGAGTTGTTGTAATATTTTAACATGTTCCATATGTTTTTATCTTTATAGTGAAAGACAAAGATGCATTTCAGAGGGTATACACAGTTGGTCAGCATTTGGGAAGCGGAGGATTTGGTACTGTTTACAGTGGAACACGCAAGAGGGATAATTTACCCGTAAGTTTACATACAATATTGGTCCATTATTTGCCGCGAAATGTCGATTAGCACGTGCTCTTTAGTACTTGAGGATCAACTTAAAAAAAATTCGATAGATATTCATTTTGTTAACTGTTCTGTTATAACAAAAATAGATATTTATACGATTTAATTTAATATTTTTTCTTTAATTTCAGGTTGCAATCAAAGTAATAACCAAAGAGAAAGTCACAGAATGGGGACAGCTAAATGGACATAGTGTGCCGATGGAAATTTGTTTATTAAAACGTGTGAACAATTGTGCAGGAGTTATTAAAATGTTGGACTGGTTTGAAATGAAAACCAACTTTGTCATTGTGATGGAACGGCCAGAACACGTGCAAGATTTATTTGATTACATTACAGAAAAAGGTGCTTTGGATGAGGAAACAAGTAAAAATTTCTTCAGACAGATTGTGGACACACTTATCAACATTCACAAAAACGGTGTTGTACACCGGGACATTAAAGATGAAAACATTCTTGTGGACTTGAAAACTGGTGAACTAAAATTGATCGACTTTGGATCAGGTGCTTTCCTTAAAGACACAGTGTATCTCGCATTTGATGGTGAGTGTCATGGATATATATATCAGTGTTGCTATATTGGATTTAGAACAAGAGCGTACTGCGATAGATTGTTACAAAACGTGTGTGCTATTTGCTGCTACTGTATACTGAGCTTACACAAGATTATGTTATAGCTGCCAATGGCCTGCCAAATAAGGGTGGGGAGTCTGGGGGAGCATCTCGTAACAGTCGTCTCGCGTTGTGACCTGAAATAATTGTCAGCTTAGAAGAGTTAGCTTTAGTGTATGAAGTTAGGGACCGTGAAATTCTTGCGAAACAGTAGGTTTTTGGGGTTTTCATCTTGTCAGACATTCCATTCCTGTAAAAATCCTGTTAGGTACAGTTTGTTTACACAAGCAGGTCATTTCGTGGGACTTAGCTCGTGTTTGGGTAAGGGGATGGGTCGTTTGGCTGGTTGCTATCAACGGACTCTGCTAGTAGCGTGGATTGGAAGCAAACGAGGTCACGATCATTTACTAAATCCAATTCAGCTGTGCTGCCTGAATAGGCGAGGTATGCAAGGCATTCACAAGCGGTGTGTGTATATACCTTAGCGCGGTATTTGTCTAGCTACGTCCTAACAGACAGAGGTCATAGTGGCGTACTTAACTCCGTTGCTTAATAAACTTTTTCAAAAGTCTATATCTTTTCTACCGTATTTTAGTCAATGCTCAATAATGGAAGTTCAATTGAGGGTTTTACATTATTCACTCAAATGATAAATTTACCAGTTGGTAACCAGGTGCTCTGGCGTTACATTACCTGTGGGTAGTCATGCGTGACGGTTGACCTAGGTGTATTTTATCTATGGGAAAATTATACATTCCTCGGACTCTTCATAAGTACATTAAAATTAAGAGTAAGGCGGCCTGGTAACATCAATTAGTCACTTCAATTAAAACTGAATAAAATGATAGATTTATTGAAATAAAAAAGGATACTATTATAAATGTTTTAAAATAAATAAAATGCTGTATTACAAATTCAATGTTTTCATACTTTGAAATTTTCATGTTCTTCAGGTACACGAGTATACAGTCCGCCAGAATGGATCAAATTCCACAGGTACCATGGGCGATCTGCAGCTGTTTGGTCTCTAGGAATTCTCTTGTTTGATCTGGTCTGCGGAGATATCCCTTTTGAGCAGGATGAACAGATAATGAAGGCCGAGGTTTCCTTCAGAGGACGAGTGTCTCATGGTAAGTTGTACAAAAATGTTAGCTCAACAAATTGAAAAAAAAAATAGAATGAAAAGTTGAAATATTCTAGAAAATCTTTTTTGAAATGTGAATAATTTCAATCTTCATGAAATGAAATTAATATTTTCTGTGTTTTTGTCTTTTCAGAAGTGAAAGATTTGGTGAAAAAATGTCTAGCAATTCGTCCATCAGACCGACCAACCTTGGAAGAGATTCTAACGCATCCCTGGCTAGCTTCAACAGTACAGCCATCAGTTGATAAGCGAGCACCCAACCACACAGGAAGTCAAGGAATCGTGGATGCCGTATCTATGAGCAGTCAGGAAAGCATGTGATGAAGGCATCCTACTAGGACCTTGATTCAAATACCCGTGTTCATATTTATAAATTATTAACTATAAACAAACTGCAACACAGCAATGCAATATATTAACTGTGAAACCATTCCACAACTCAGGGAGCTGCAATGAATTAATTACATTGTCATATTACATCATATGTGGATTATGAGACGAACTTCATACAAATATTTGAAAGTGGATCAACCCCCTCTCCACGTGCCCACAAGCTCATTCAAATGACTGGAAAGCAAAAGGGATGTGAATATTTTGCCAAAGACCACTCTAAAATACAAGTTGTGATTTCACCATATTTGTTGGACTTTCCAAGGGTGGCAAACATGGACCTTATTTATTGTGATAGTATGAGAGAAGAGACTAAGAAAAACGCTCAATTTTTTTTTTATTGCATACATATTGTGAGTCCTATTCAGCCATGAATTTGAACCCAATAATCACTGCCACTTCAATGCAAAAAGTTGATTTTTCCTCATTTCATGTATTTTCTATTTATTAAGCTACAATGCTAGCCATATCATTACTTATTCATATGTAGGGTTAGATTAGTAATTTTTGGTGTACTTTGACACAACGGTGCTGATAGAAATTGGTAATTGCCATTTTTTATTGATTTTTTTTTTTATATACACGTGTATTTATTTTGTGGTTTTTATGATAAATCCTCCTAAAACAACGAAATGACTAGTAGAAAGTCATAATTAGATCCTTTCCTGTATTTCTAACTTTATAGATTAATCACCACTTTATAATACTAATACTTGAACCTTTAATCTTTCTGTATCAACACCTCAAAAAACGTGGCATCCTTATCATTTGTAAGGGGCTTAAAGGTTGTACTAGCACAATAATTGTAGCTTTAAAGCATTTCCACTAAAATCACTAAAACTTTTTAGAAAACAATTTTGACCATAGTTTTGCTTTTGACCATATTTTTGCTTTTCTAATTTTAGAAGTTTAAAAAGCAAAAGTAGTATTTTCATTGTAACGCACAATTTTATTATATAATCTTTTAAAAAAGGTTTGCATATATATACGTATTTCTCTCTCCCTGCCCATCATAGCTCATTTCCTGTATTAAAATTCATCTATACGCCATTTGTACATATGTAATCTCATTTATTTATTAAGCATGGTGTGACGTGTGAATTACTTGTACAAACGAATTAATAGCGCATACATTAAAATGGGTGCTTTGAGTGAACATTTCTGCATGAATGAATACTGAAAATATTGAGTGACAGCAGTTGGTGAATGGAAAGCTCGACTTTGTGTAAATGTGTTTATCTGGATATGAGCGAAATGCAGAGAAAATTTTGTAAAGTTGGTTGAATGAAATTGTATGAAGTTTGGGTATGTGCTGGCTTTTCCCTATTATCAGATATGGAACGGACGTCGGTACCCTCAAAACTGAATGTTTGAATAATGCTAATATGAATGCTTTATGTATTAATTTATTTATTCAGAAGAAGCAATTCTCCTTTGAATATGTGTGTGTGTGTAACTGAAGTCAGCTTGTAAATAACTTATTTTTATATGAAACAAAAGAAAAGAAGAAAAATCCCAGAATAAAATATATAAAATTAATTTCTGAATCGTTGTTTTATTTGATTTAACACTTGGACCAACTAGGATATCATAACGTGACAGACCTTTGAAGAAAAATGCCAGACATGGATTACAATGAAATGGATTTAGAAAAGTTAAGAGGACCGACCATTCTTGACAAATGACATTTTACTGACATGAAAGTTTATATCTGATAAAAAATTAAGCAAAACGTGTAATAAAAAAAAAGTGATTATGGAAAGATTCAAAATTTTACAGCTTTATCATTTAATTTACGTTTTTTTATCGGATGTAAACTGATTAAATCTGGACTGCACACGTTTTGTTTTACAACAAAAATAAAAGGACCTGACATAGACACTAGATATTTGTTTATAGGTTCCTGAACAATTTGGTTCAGTTTCATGTTATTCAAAAACCTGGATGGATTTGAACCTATTATAAATATTTGGCCGGGATCCAATATCTCTTCAGACATTTGTTATCTGTAACCACTAAACCAGCGAGGAAATATATAAAAAAAAGACCAAAAATGTTCATATTGATAGAAAATTATTGGCATTGGCAAAGAAAATTGGAATCGGTTCAAACATGTGACAGTTATTCAGAATTAACGGTTATGAGTTGTTTAGCCCTATTACACATCGTTCAAAACATCCTGGTTGGTTTTCCGAGAAGCCCATTGACTGACTAGTCGGGATGTTTACGAATGTGTCGCATACAAAGTTCAATTTAGAAACGTCGTCACTAACAAATATAAAATCTTCTGTGGTTTTACAGTAGATGGTAATCTAGAATTTTGTTGGGGAGGCGGATCTTGTTCTGAATGTCTGTTAAAAATATTGTTCTGAAAATCACCAAGAAATGCATATCATTTGTACTAAATGAACTGCGAAAGAAAATGAAACAAAGTTGAACAATGTGTCTGTTCTATATTACATTGTCTACTAATTAGCACTAGTTAACCGCTAACAAAACGTCATGTTCCCACGCCACATCTATACCTACTACACGACTAACAATATTTTTTTTAAACTCGTGAGACATAATTTCAACGGTCTTATCGCAACCACTACGTATTACTTAAAATTTTATATTATACCAGTTTTTGCCGTGTATGTAGGTAATAACATTCAATATACAACCAGGAATCCCTGATATAACATAACAAATTGGAGTACGACCATGAAAAGGAACAAGAACGTTAGAAGAACTAGGAGCCACGTGGAGTTACTAGATGAGCTTGATGTTAGTAAAGTGTTCACATGCCATTTTACGTGTTGCGCGTACTACGTTGTTAGCGAGAAAATATCGATTTATTTTAGTCTACTACGCTTTCGGATCCGAGACAGCTGATCCAATTAATAACAGTCTGGATACATTTGCAACTGTATTTTCTAATATTATTGTTTGTCAATGTTAAATTACCTATGTTATTATTAATAATTGTAATGTATAAATCCAGTCCACTACACATCCCTGATAAATCTAAACTATCAGTGCCTAATAAAATCTGACGGATCATAGCGGGCCCATATGATAGTTAGCCCAAATAATATCAGTGATGCCGCATAACTTGAGCAAGCTCATTGATAGTATACAGTTTTAGTAGTAAATCCGATCTACGCAGTATATGTATAGCGTAGGTGTATATATATAGACTGGACGGTCAGGTACGGAGCGCGAGTCACCTTCCCGACCACTAGGAGTTCACGTGATCGTGTATATAAGCAGAGGGCACGAATACACATACCACGGAACTATCTGGTGTAACGAAGGTGAAGGTCGTCGGTTGTAGGGCTAAGCGGCCTACGAATATATTACATAGTTCGAACTGCGGTGACACGAAGTTGTTGTGTAACACTTTTAAATACATATCGGATACTACATAACTAATCTACTTCAACTATAAGAACTCTGCCAAGTACAACCAGGTGGACTCGTAGAATTTTAATGAACAAAAATATTGCGCTGTCAATCTATTTAAGTCAGATCCTTTTAATTCCCGCGCCTCTATGCTACGACACACTCCTGTCTTCCGAGGGAAATGGGAAGATAGATTTTATTATAATAAGATTGTAAATATTATCGCGGTATCAAATTCCATGTCCTGATAATTAGTTGAGTGTTTATTCATAATACGGTATTTTTCGGAACAATCAGTTTGTGGATGTGTTTGAACCTCCCTCTCCTGTAAGTTCTTTAATCGGAAATTACTGTTGGAGCTTAAGGAAATTTTAAAGAGAAAAAAACCCACCTAAATTTCAACAGTACCTTCCGATAAAAAAAATATTGAAGAGTTTCCGAGGCTAAATTCCGTATCTCGGTGACACCGTAGCCTTACGGATAGAGTATAAGTGGACCAAACGGCAATTGTTTTTTAGAATCCACACCGCATTTGCCAAGGTTTGTTTTCGGGCATTCCCTTATAGAACTGAGGTTTTTCCCGGCGCTACAGCAAGATATTTCTTTTAAAGATAAGAAACTTTGGGAAGTTAATATATTATTTCCTGTACAGTTCTGTTTCACTGCAATAATTCATTTAGGAACACACAAGAGCAATTTTACAGGCGTAGAAATTGTGAAATTATTCCAGTCCACTGTTTTTTTTAGACATTTCCTTGTTAGGTTTCGAAGAGTAGATAATCTAACTTTTTATCTCATCTCTCAAAATCAAATATTGTCTTATATATGTAATTAAAAATATTCGTCCTACTGTTCCAGGGTCATCGTTCAGAGATATAAGAAATATATGCAAAAATAAAATAGTTCTGTTTAAATCCCAGTAGGCAAGCTGACTAGTGGTTCATGAAGCTGAATCCAAAATATGGGGCAGTGTTTTGCGAACATAAGGGCCGTGGGAATGCGAGCGCACTAGCTGGAAAAAAAAATAACCGATTTACGTAAGTGAGAAACCTCTTTACGCGTTTAATAATTAATTACATACGTTTTATATTCTAATTAGTTGTTAGTAGTCGAACAACCTGTGGATGAGAATGGTGTAATATAAATAATACATCACAACAATTTGACGCAGTTTCCGCTATTTATCCAAACAGTTATGAAACATAGATAAGTTATTTTGGCATGTATAAACATTGTTTTATTTTTAATATATGCAGGTGCTTGTCAATAGGTCCGGAGCTATTGTTTGAAACTGTAAAATGCGGTTTATGTCATCATATTATTTTAACCTCATTTTGACGACGACGATGATAACAAAGCGGGACAACATTACAATTTTACATTCAGCAGCTGCAGTTTGATATAATCATGTGACATTTTCTTCACCATTATGTCCGACATGAAGACTTCTCGGGGTCATGACCTCATAGTGACGATGACGTCAGTTCCTGTACCCACACAAAGTGAATATTAATATTTTGCCAGCCACACGTGCTAGAACCCCATGATAAAAAAATACACAAAAGCAAAATCAGTCTGTTCTATCTTGATCAATGGACACAGCAACCGAGACCAAAGAATAAGCTTGTTATTTCCTGCTATGAGTCTGACCTGGAAAGGCGTCAAAAGCAACAGACTACGCACTTTTGACTGGAAAGGCGGTGGCCAATTAGCTGGACTAGACAAATAGATGGACCCCACATCTCTGTTTGAACTTCAGCCAACTCTGACACATTCAACTGTGCGGTTCATCTTTTGCTTCAAATGGAATGTTATAGGGCGTTTATTTTATTTTCCGACTCGCAAACCGTTTGAATGTAGTCTTTAAAGGTACGATCACACGCTGAAGATCTAATGACAGCATGATCCCAGGTAGTCACGCTTGTTAAAACTTTTTCCCCCAAGTCATTCATTGTTAGGTAAAGTTAGCCCTTTCGCGGGCTTTTTGATAAGGATCGTTTTTGGTGGTATGTTGACTGTTGAGCCACCCGCGTGGGAGTGTGTAGTTTTTCGTCGGCAAGCCCTCCGGAGGAAAAACCGACGAGAAATATGTTTGTGAATGGCGAGAGATAAGAGATCGGAGGGTTGGTAATGTTTACTCATCTATGTGCCATCTATACAAGGGCATTTACTGTGCCATTTATACAAATATCAACGGTATTGT